GTGCTTCCAACAAAAGAATTGGGTTAATTTCTAACAGTCCTATTGGACTATTTTCACATCTTAATAAGTTCAGCATACCTTCAGCTAGAAAAGCCATTCAGGTATCAAAATGTTCAGCTCTTCAAAGCCATTCCTACTTTATTGCATCTCATCCTTCAGATTATTCAACAAAGAAGTTCAGCCATTTCTTCTCATCTTTCAGCTGTTTCAGCAATTGATTTCAGGCATTTTCAGGACAATCTTTCAGCTTTTATTAGCATCCACATGCATTTTCGACAGGAAATGCATTTCTCTATTTAAAAAGATAAATTGCTGTGACATCATGCACATGCACTCCTTTGGCATTTTTGGTGGGGAGATCGCAACATTATCATCTTAAAAGAGGGCTGCACTCCTAAAAAGCTTAAACCCACAAAAGTACAGGGAAAAGGTTTTCAGTGTCTTCACTGGCCAACTTAAATTTTAGAAAGCCTGCAAACACTCTTTTGTCAGTTAGATAAATGTTCTAGCGAATTAACAAATCACAGGTCTTAGTTTTTATTGCATTTTGGAAAATGTCCAAACTTTACTCGAAACAGGGTTTGTAAATAATAAGGGTAAAGAACACACAACTTGTGCCACGCAGCTAGGCTACCTGCTACAGCTGGCATGTGCAATCTGAGATGTGTGAGTTGTATATTCAAATATATATTACCTTTCGGAGGGGGTCCCTCAGGTAGCATTCGATGATTCTGTCGTACACATTTTTCTTCTCATAAAGGAATTCACAGATTTGGTAGCTGGAGGTCAAGACAGGAAGAACAAAGGCACATCAACAAGCCACAAAATGTAATAACAAAAGCTATAATAGTATTTTATAACTTCTATAATACTTTACAGTTACAGTTACAGTTTTAGTATTTGCAGTGTTCGCCCCAATGTTTTCACAGATAGCTGAGCTAACAAAAGCTTCAACATTTCCGGGATGACAGAAGAAATTAGAAAAATAGCACCATGAGACTGTGCATCAAGTGGATGATCTGGATGTGGGATTCATAGACAATTGGAAAACCTTTTGAAGAAAACGTGGTCTGATTAGGCAATACAGCATTCTTCCCACATTGGATGGTGTGGCTCTCTTAACCAGAAATATGTCTGAGTTCATTAGACAACCTACAGTATGACAATCCAGACTTGAGACCAGGATGCTGAGTTGCGGTCTTACACGCCTTACTGCAGTTTCTGTACAGCCATCACCCACCCAAAACACCCAGAAGCCCATAGAGAGTGTGTCTGGCCCCCTTTTATCCTAAATTATATAAATCAAAAATCAACACAAGAGGACTTTTCATGTGAATCTAAAAAAATTATGACTACTCCTTATACAGAACAAAAAACAAGACAATCAGATGACTCATAATATCAAATCTCTTTTATCTAAACCTTCGTTAGTAAATAATTTGATAATTGATTTGCATCTTACTGAAACCTGGTTACAGCAGGAAGACTGTAAGTCGAAACGACTCCACCCCACCTAGTCATACTGTCACATTCCTGGAAGCACAGGTCAAGGTGGAGATGCGGCAGCAACTCAAGTTTATTAATCAGCCTTAATCTTTTACACAAGGCAATATTAATGTGTACATGAGGAAGTATTTAGGAACCACCGCATCTCTCTCTGAAGAGCTCTCTTCATCAGTTCCCTGTAACCTTTAGCTCCTATGGAAACAGCTCCCAGTTTGGGTTCCGAGGGGCAGAGACACTCTCTCCTTTTAAAACTAGGCTTAAAACTTAACTTTTTGATAAAAAATTATAGAGCTGGCAAAGGCTACCCTCAACCTTCTCTTATTTATACTGCTTATTTGTACTGCTTTAGGCCTCGCATGATATACTGAGCACATCTCCTCTCCCTCTTCACTCTCAGTGCATTTATAGGCCACCATTGTATTTCGCCAATACTTCAACGGCAGTGTTTTTCTGTGGGAAAGACTTAAAGTTCTGAACTATACTTTATATTGACCACAAGGTGAGACCCTCTGTACAATAAATGCTTTTTTTTATTTTTATTTTCAAGTACAACTTTTTTGATGCACCATCCAGTTTAAAAAAAATGTAGAAATTTTGAACTTAAATATGTATGGTAAATATGCAAAGGTACAGTACGCTACAATAACTTGATACAAGTATTCAATGCAATTGCTTTTTGGTTCCAGTGTTTGGCCAGCTACTCACAACTTGGCCTTCTCTGCCAAAGCCAACAGCCTTTCTTCGTTAAACTGGACCACACCTCCAACCTGCAGCAGTTCCAGCAGAACCTACAAAACAATCACAATAGACCAGTGACATAACTGCAGACAAGAATGTTGAGGCACAATACGTGTCTATGCATTTATGTATGTGTCTATGTGTATACATATGCAAATAATGTAGATACACAGTAGACAGTTGTATGTAAAAGGTTTGGCGCCCTTAGGCAAATTACATATTTTGTTTTTGCAGTGAAAATTAAGAAAAAACAACCTATGCACACATGAAGGGTATACTCTTACAAGGCATGTTTGTCTATTATAAGTAGGAGGGTAGGAAGGGTAGCAAGGTACTGTCCAGGGAAATAAGAGGGAAATTTGTATTAAATAGACTGTAACTTTGAAATATACTGATTCAATTTAGCTTAGTTGGGCAGATGAAGCTGCGTTTGAACCTCAGACCAACTTTGGAGTGCATGTTTTTACAGAACTTGAGTTGTGTAGTTTGTCCCTCATTTTTTGCAGTATAGTGATATTCCAGGTGGAAGCATTCAGCATCACTGTGAAGAGCAGAAGTAACAACAACCAAGACCTTAACCTCCCCCTTTATGAAATGCTCTCTAACCCTTTATATGTCCTCCCTAACATCCTCCAACCTCTCTGGGTTCCCTCTGAGCAGCATTTGGATCCTTTCAGGTATAATTTTAGCCAATTTTTCATGGCAGACTTGTTCCAAATCCACCAGATTGCTTGGTTGTCTGCTACGTACAGCCCTCTTCAGAACGATCCAGAGTTTTTCACTGATATTTAAGCCTGGAGACTGGGAAGGCCATGGTAAAACATTCACCTTATTCTTTTTAAAGCATTCCTGAGTTGACTTTGCTCTGTTCTTTGGATCTCTGTCTTGTTGAAGGATCCACTGCCTCTTTATTTTTAGCTGTCTGACAGTAGGAGGCTTTGCTTTACAATCTTCTGATATTGAGTTGTATTCATTCTTCTTTCCACTTTATGCAGAGCTCCACTGCCTGATGTAGACACACATCAGCGAGCCTCCACCATGTCTGACTGTGGGAGTGGTGTTCCTCTCCTCATACGCCAAGCTTCTCTCACCACACATGCCTGTGCACATTAAGACCAAATAGTCTTACTCATTAACAAACTTCAAGTCTGCTGCCTTATGTCTAGAAGTAAGCGATGGCTTCCTGCATGCTTTTCTCCCAAACAATCCAGATTTGTGCAGACAATGCTTGACTGTGGAGATGTGGACTTGTATTCCAATTGCTTCTAAGGACTCTGTCAGGTCCCCTGCTGTTTGCTTTGGATTCTTAAGTAGCTCTCAAGTAAGATTCCTCTCGCCTCTTTCAGTTGCAGCATCACACCTGTGGATTGATCTGAAGAAGGCTGTACATAACAGACAACCAAGCAAGCTGGTGGACTTAGAACAAGTCTGCCATGAAAAATTGGCTAAAATTATACCTGAAAGGATCCAAAACATTTGTACTCAACTGTATACAGTATGTATATGTATGTTTGCTTGCATGTATGTTTATCTGTAGATAAATATAGGGAGAGAGAGAGACAGAGACACTGCTAGGTGTCATGTAATTGCACCTGTACTGTTTACATGCTCAGTTGCACACCCACTGCTAACTATTGGATAGGTAGGTAGGTACTTTATTGATCCCACAGTGGGGAAATTTCTGTGTTACAGCAGCAATAGAGAACAACCAAGATTGCACATACAGCCTTGATGTAGCATACACTATCTTTTACTGTGTTCTCATTACTGCTGACTATTGCACATACAGCTCTGATGCAGGTGTTTTTATTATATTTATATACTTGTTATTGTATTTCTTTTCACTCGCTGCTTAAAGTGCCTTTAGACTCTGTGCTACTGTTTATCTACTTTAGATTTGACTTGTGTTGTTTGGCATTCAGGGTGGATGGCAAAGTAAGAATTTCATTGTGTAGAGAAATACGTTTCCATATTGTGCATATGACAATAAACACTTTGAATCTTGAATGTGAACACTTCACTAACCTGCTGCCTCTCAGTGTGTCGGGAGTCATCATCTGGGCAACACAGGAACTCCAGAACCTGGAAAGATCAACCCAAATCTATTCAATATCATACATATCTAATACATTATTTTGCCCCAGTGGATATGAAGTTTCTGCTCAGACAGAGCTGGCTAATCTACAGGCTGGAATATACTAGAAAAGAAGTGATTAATTTGATATGTTTTCCAATCACATCGGAAATCAAATGTATAAACCTGATCTGACTGGCCATACTGGGAGGTGGAGTGGGAGGCTTGTTATAGTGAGGAGGGAGATGTGATATTGTTTAGATATAGAGATAATAGCATATGTTCTCAGACAGTCTCTCTTGGAAGACACAAACTTTCTTGTTCACATTAGAAATGCTACAAACAGATTTACCAAAGGATGCAAGATTTTCTTCAGTGTAGTGGCCCAAAGATTGGCAAGCTATGTAGAAAGGACTAAGCTCAATGACACCTCAGTGCAGAAAGCCAGAATACCAGGTTTTTATAGATGCTTGGAGCAGCACAAGCATGATCTGGCATTAAAGTCAGTCAGCAATGAAGGAAAAAAAGAGATTTGTATGGGATGTTCTTAGGTCTAGCTAATGCCTTTGGTTATCTACCACATAGCCTGCTGTGGGAAGCACTAGATTATTTTAAAGTACCAGACCTAGTTAAGGTTAAAGTGAGAAAATATTTTCAGGATATGCATGTACACTGCCTGGTCCCTTTATTAGGTACATCTGTACTTCAATGCAACACTTCTGCTTTAACATCTGCATTTATGAAGTTCAAAATGTTTCAGTTTTTAGTGAAATTGTCATAAATGTATCAATTCAATGATATGTTTATTACCGAGGTCATAGTTAAAGGTGGTGTTGTACTGGACTACATTATATTCAGAGGTGTTCCTAATATTCTGACCCTCTCATGTATGTCAATGGGCAGGACAAAAATATACAGACACCTCTGAATATCATGTAGTCCAGCACAACACCACCTTTAACTATGACCTCAATAATAAACATATGTATAATTGAATATATACATTTATGACAATTTAGCCAAAAACTGAAACATTCTGAGCTTCGTAAACACCAATGTTATGGAGGAAGTGTTACACTGAAGTGCATACAATTGTACACGTGACTGTTAAAGTGGCCAGGCAATGTATGTTTGACAGCAGAGTATACTACAGCATGGCAGCAACTGGATATGAGCATCATGACAGGATGCACAATCTCACCACTAGTGTTTACCATGGCAACAGAGGTTATTATTAGGGTATCTAGGTGAGTGGGTTGGATCCAATAGCTTAAAAAAAAAAAAAATCGCAAAAAACAAGCTCAAATATACATCGAATAAGGTTGGAGCATTTGATTGGCTACCTGATCAAAGAGCTTCCTGTTCACAAAGAGTGTGTTATCTGGCTTGGCCAACTGTCGAGCCAAAAAGGTGAACAGCCCGCCCACCTGGGAAGGAGTAAAGTCTGGGTTGTCCACCATCACCTAGGTAACCAGAAAGACATATTAATAATCAAAGCAAAGGTTACAGAGAAAATAAAGATTGCAATATTGGTTATTTATATTAACAGCATAAAGTTAAACTGCTGTTTCTATCCAGCATAACAAGATGATATGACTGCTACTGTTTTCACCTGCAGCTCTTCAGGTGAACTACATGCTGTCTCAGTGTGTTGTTGGCTTTGAAAAATACATGGATAACAAAACCTTCTTTAATACTCTAGGCACATAAGGTGACCTGGTCCCTGTGAACTTAGCACTAGTTATTTGTCTGATTGATTGTGACAAATGATCTGTTTCGGAAAAGGATTAGATTGCTGAGCTTCTCTTCATGCTCTGTGCTGATTTCACTCTCAGCTATTAATGTAAAACAAACAAAACAACATACGGAATGAGTTTTGTACCTGAAGTAAAATGTCCACTATCCTCTGCTGGTACTCAAGGGCCTGCTTGTCATTTTTAAAGTCTTCAAATGTCTAGAATGAAGTGAGAATGAAATGTTAAATATCAAAAAAAGAAAAAAAACTTTCAAAAGCTAGAATTTCAAAGTTTTATTTATTAACCAGAACTGAGTATAGTCCATTATTATTATTAATTATAGCCAAATGCCAGAAATAACGAGATTATGTGACTAATGAAATAAATAAATATTTATGGCATAAACATAACATAAGCACCTATTGTGTTTTTACAGATGTACATCTCAGGAGGATGCCACACAGTATTTCACTGCACATATTGTTTTAGAATGAGGTGAATTTTAAAACTGAAATCTCATCAACACAGGTAGCCCTCATGGTGGTGATGGTGGACTATTATTTTGGATGACCTACTTTAAATCTCTTTTCCAGCACCCAGGCGTAGGCTTTCCCAGCGAGGCTGAGTAGTCAGATACCCCAATAACTGGAGCACTCTCTCTGGTACCCTTTTTTAAAACCATCAACCCAGTCTGCCAGTCCACAGGCACTGTCCCCATCCTCCATGTGACACAAAAGAGGCATGACAACCAAGACAACCCAACTATGTCCAGAGCCTTCAGCATCTCAGGGTGAATCTCATCCACACCTGGTGCCTTGCCACCAAGAAGCTTTTTGACTTCTTCAGTGACCTCTGCCAGAGATATGGGTGAGGTTTCCCCTGCGTCTTCCACCTCTTCCTCTGAGGACATGTTAAATGAGTTCAGGAGTTCCTCAAAGTGCTCCTTCCACCACCTGACAATATCCCCAGTCTGAATCATCAGTTTTCCTCCCTCCTCTGCCAAACACAGCCTGGGCCAACCCTGAGTTGCCGGATGATTTGCCAGGACTTCCCTGAGGCCAACCAAAGGTCCTTCTCCATGGCCTGACCAAACTCCTCCCACATCCCAGTTTTTGCACCTGCAACCATCCAAGCTGCATTCCTTTTGGCCTGCCAGTACTCATCAGCTGCTTTGACCCCTGAGCCAACCAGGCCCTGTAGGCCTCTTTCTTCAGCCTGATTGCTTCCTTCACCACTGATGTCCACTGGCGGGTTCTTAGGTTGCTGCCAAGACAGGCACCAACAACATTCTGGCCACATCTCAGAATAGCTGCTTCTATAATGAATGATTTGAACATGTGTTAGGGTGATTTTTATTTTTAAGTAGATATGAATAGAATTAGTTAAGGTTTTTATTTTATAGCATACATAAGTCTATATACTTTAATCTCACAGTTATGTTTATGTAGTTACATATCACCCTATGTGTTCACTGAATCACTGGTCAGTATTTATAGTGCTAGCCAACTGGAGCACTGTTTAACATCAAAGGGACTGGTTCACTAAAACACTGAATCTCATTAGATTTACAGCTTTGGAGGACGATTGGAGGACGGACGGACTGAAGGACCAATAACGAGAGAGTTAAGTCTAAACCACGGCTTCTCCGCAACAGTTTTTGACCAATTAGATAGTAGTACCTTTTCGTACAAATATTGTATACTGACAAGTTGAGGACAGTTTTTTTCTGTTTATCCTAAACAGTGAAGATCCATGTGCACATGCTTATTTTGATACGTTAATGCATAATACTTTTCACACTGTGTAAGGCCAAATACTATGAACAACCATTTGGTGGATAGGGACAAACAACAGAGCTTTCCTCCCAGTGACTTTAAGTCGCATAGAGGCAACCCTCTCATTCCACAGGTAGAACTCAAATGCAGCAGTGTTCAGCCTGGGATTTATGAGTAGCCCCACACCTGCCCAGCAACTCTTACCCTGGGTAAATCCGGAAAAGGTTGGAGTCCAACCCCTCTCCAAGAGTTTGGCTCCAGAGGCAAAACTATGTGTGCTGGTAAGCTGAACTATACAGTGCCTTGTAAAAGTATTCATACCCCTTGAATTTTTCCACATTTTGTCACATTACAACCACAAACTTAAATGTATTTTAATGGAATTTTATGTGATAGACCAACACAAAGTATCGCATAATTGTGAAGTAGAAGTTCAAGATTTTTTCCAAATAAAAATCTGAAAAGTGTGGCGTGCATATGTATTCAGTCCCCTTGAGTCAATACTTTGTCGAAGCACCTTTCTTTTGGGGTATGTCTACCAGTTTTGCACATCTAGAGACTGCAATTTTTGTCCATTCTTCTTTGCAAAGTAGCTCCAGTTCAGTCAGATTGGATGGAAAGCATCTGTGAACAGCAATTTTCAAATCTTGCCACAGATTCTCGATAGGATTTAGGCTTGAAGATACCAATTATCTTTCTTCACTCCACTTTCATCTAAGATGGTATCTTCCAGCTTCTGACTGGCTGAACACACCTGAGCCAGGTAATCAGCAGCAGGTCAGGCAGGGATAGTTGGAAAACAAGCAGGACAGCGGCCCTCGAGGGCTGGAATTGGTCACCCCTGGTTTAGGTGGACGGCCATGTCTTAGTAGGTTTGCAGTTGTGCCATATGCTTTCCATTTTCGGATGATGGATTGAACAGTGCTCCGTGAGATGTTCAAAGCTTGGGATATGTTTTTATAACATAATCCTGCTTCACAATTATGGGATACTGTGTTGGTCTATCACATAAAATCCCAATAAAATACATTTACGTTTGTGGTTGTAATGTGACAAAATGTGGAAAAATTCAAGGGGTATGAATACTTTTGCAAGGCACTGTATCTAGTTGCTATTGCTCCACCTCTTGCACCTTCCCCACCAGAGAGGTGACATTCCAAGTTCCTTGAGCTAGCCTAGGCAGCCAAGGATCAACAGGCCCAGATACCCGACCTAACCTGAATACCAACTTGCAATGCACCCAAAGTCAATTCCTTTCCTTGCAGGGTGGTGGTAACATGTCATTTCTTCATGCTGTGTCCAACCAGACCCCATGGGCCAAGGCCCGGCCACCAGATTGTCACCCGTGAGCTCCCCTATCAGGCCTGGTTCCAGCAGTGTGCCCCAGTTTCCTTAATCTGAGGTAGCACAATATGAAGTGGCGATTTTCATAAGGGTTTTTGAATTGCTTTTAGCCCCTCCCCTGGGACCAATTTGCCTTGGGAGACCCTACCTGAGGCTAATGCCCCAGACAACACAGCTTCCAGGATCAGTGGGACACACAAACATGTTTACTATGTTAAGGTGGCGAATCTAGATCTATACCAGGGTGCTGGAAAAGAGGCTATGACTGATTGCCGAATCTCAGATTCAGGAGAAACAATGTGGATTCTGTCCAGGTTGTGGAACAATAGATCAACTCTTTACAAGGTTGCTGGAGGGATCCTGGGAATTTGCCCACCTAGTGTACATGTGTTTTGTGGACTTGGAGAAGGACTACAACCAGCTCCCTCATAAGATCTTGTGGGGGGTACTCTGGGAGTGCGGTACGCCAAGGCCGTTGGTATGAACCATCCGATCCCTGTATAACTAGAGTAGGGAGTGTGTCTGTATAGTCAGCAAAGAGGTCAAACACATTCCCATTTGGTGTCAGCCTTAATCAGGGTTGTACTTTTTCACTGATCCTGTTTGTGATTTTCATGGACAGGATCTCAATCTTTTAATTGTGTGGATGCTGTAAAGCATCCACACTATGTTGTCCTGTTCTTTATTGTGTGGATGCTGTGTCCACACTATGTTATCCTGTTCTTTATTATTGTGTGAATGCTGTGAAGCATCCACACTATGTTATCTTGTTCTTTATTATTCTGATTTCTTCCATCCGTTTTTTGGCACTTAATGTCTTCAGCATACTTTCAGCTACAAAAGCCATGAAGTTATCAAAATGTTCAAATCTTGAAGG